TCCCAGCGCTCCCCCCCGGAAGGGACGGGCGGGGCGGGGGGGGGGAATGACCGGAGCCGGTGTGGGGTGTGGTGGGGTCGGTCGGCTGCAGTTCACTGACGTCGTGACCCCACGGGCCCGCCGCGGCCGGCCGGGGTGTGGTGATTATGGGAATGACAGAACTCGGTGTGCGCGGAGCCTGGGCGAGCGCGGACGCGGGGGGAACCGCTAAGAACTACGGCGGAGTTCAGCCTGCGGGATGATGACTCGCGCGAGTCCGGAGGGCGTCCTGAGAGCCGGTGCCAGGCCCCAGTGGAAAGGCTTCTGTTTGGGTGTTTTGTTTCTGTTGTTGTTGTTGTTGTTTTTTGGTCCTACTTTTTCAATGAAAAGTTCCAAAATAATGGATGTTTACAACTCTCAGAATAAACAGTCAGGAAATAATCTTTCCGGGATGCCCTGTTACCTACTGTCACCAACATCGTTTTTTTTTTTTCCCCTTACAACAGTTTCTCCCCAAAAAGACAAAAAAACACCGGTAGCAGATAAATAGGCAATTTTTTTTTTAATTTTCCTATCTATGGAACATTTTTCATTGTTTTTGTTGCAGTATTGGGGCTTGAGCTCAAGGGTCTGGGCACTGTCCCTTAGCCTTTTCTCTTCAAGGTTTGCTCTATTACTTGAGCTTCACTTGGGGTCTCGGGTGGTTAATTGGGAGAAGAATCTAATGACTTTACTGGCTTAGAACCATGATCCTCAGAAGCTATGGTACAAATGTGAGAGCTATTGCCTCCGAGCTGCCTTAGGTTCTTTCTTAACTGTTTTTGAGAGTCTCTCTGTGGGTCCAGGTGAATCCTCCTGCATCTGCCTTCTCAGTTGCTGAGATTTTAAATTTCCATATTCGGTTTAAGTTGTTCTTGCATTTGTAATTTTCTGAAAATAATTCACAAGTTATTTCTCCTTCCACTTAAAAGATTGATGATATTTAAGCTTTTCCAAGAACAGTGAGAATGAGCTCTACTGTGTTTTTCTATTTTTGCTGAAATTGTTGGAAGGCTGTGTTTATTTGATTTTATATATGGGTGGATGAGGATTTCCTTCAGCTTTCCAGCTTTGACACAAAACCACAGGTCCTTGAGATCCACTGATGAAAAGTATTTCAAGGCGTCTCACAAAAGGAAAGTCTCAGCAGGTGAAGTTTCAGCAAAGATTTGTTTTTATTATAAGTTAAAATTGGGAGATATGGAAAATATGGAAGCCTTTCCTGTTCTCAAAAATGGAAGCCCCTATGTGTAATTTCTATACTAGGTGAGTACAGCTTGTCTAGCAACTAACTATTCCACAAATGTTTTGCATAGATAAGATGGTAAGCCCCACCTAAAACATAGGGAACATTTAGTACTATTTAGTACTTTTTTTTTTGCCAGATATGCCTTTCATGATTTCTATCTTTACACATCCATTTATAGCTACCAAAGTTTTGCCGTTTCAAACGATAGATTTAGACAGTCTCCTGTACTTTGAAGAAAGAGAGAAAGAGAGACTATATTTCCTGATCTTCTAATTTTAAAAGTGAGGTATGGTGATAGAAAAGCTTATCTGCTTTTTCAGTTTACTTTCTGGTTTTAACTTACGACTCTGGCCTTTTTGATATTTTGTTGAAGATGAAATGATTTTCTGTCTTCTCACCTGTCATGCTTCAGTTTTAAGATAGAAGGCATGAGAAAATAATGAACACTTAGGGAGCTTCTTTCCAGATAATGTGCTAAAAGCATGTGTTTTAAACACTCAATACTTAAAGTACATACTAATTTTCCCTAATTTTCAGATGTATGGACTGTCATTCTTTGTTGTTGTTGTTGTTCATTCTTCTTGTTGTTGTTGTCAGTTGTGGGGTCTGGGCACTGTCCCTCAGCTCTTCAGCTCAAGGCTAGCACTCTACCACTTGAGCCACAGTGCCACTTCCCTTCTCTGGTTTATTGGAGATAAGAGTCTCCTGGCCTCTCCTGCCCTGGCTGGTTTTGAACCATGATCCTCAGATCTCAGTCTCCAGAGTAGCTAGTATTACAGGTGTGAGCCACTGACGCCCTGCTGTCATTTTTTGTTGTTGTTGTTGGTACTATGATTAGAATTTTTTCTCCATCCCCAACACTGAAAAGAAAAAGAAAATGCTGGGCCATGGTGACTCAGCCTCACACTAAGGAGGTTGAGATCTGAGGATTAGGGTTCCAAGCCAGTCCAGGCAGCTACATCTGTGAGACTTTTTTTTATCTCCAGTTAACCATCAAAAAGCTGGAAGTGGAGTTGTGGCTCTAGTGGTAGAGTGCTATCCTTGAGCAAAAAGCTCAAGGACAGAACTCAAGTTCTGAGTTCAAGCCCCTGGACTGAAACAGAACAAAAACAACAAGAAAAAAGAAAACTAGTCCAGCCAACAGAGGCTCATACCTGTAATACTAGCTACTCAGGAGGCTAAGATCTGAGGATTGCTGTTAAAAGCCAGACCCAACAGGAAAGTCTAAGTCTTTTTATTCAGTTATCCAGCAGAAAAGCTGGGTATCCAGCTTTGGCTCAAATGGTAGACCACTAGCCTTTAGCAAAAAAGCTCAAGGTGAGTATCCTGGACCTAAGTTCAAGCCCCAGGACTGGCACTAAATAAATAAGAAAACTAAAAATGAACCAAAAAAAATCTGCTTGTTGGTTTTGTCTTTGGTTTTTTGAGAATTTCTGACTATGCAGCCTAGGCTGGCCTTGAACTTAAAATCTGCCACTGGCTTGTGTTATTCTACCTGGCCCTGGTTGTGTTTATTTACTTAATCCATTCACTCATCCAGTACTTGGAGAGTGATTGTAACTGGTGTATCCTTATTCTCATTTCCTGATAGAATTTATAGCATAATGGGAAAGACTAACAGTTAATACAAATGTTAACCAAATGACATTTTAACAGTCATTGTAATTTAGCAGAAATGCAAAAAAGGACTTGACTACATATCAAGACAAGTTCAAATGAAAGCATAAGTTTTGAGGGTCTTATATTCATTGGGAAACAAAAAGCTCATGCTTGTAATACTAGCTTTTCAAAAGCTGAGGTGGGAGGATTCAGAGTGTCAGGCCAACCTGGGATACACATAATGGTCAAATGGTCAGTCTTAGAAAAGCAAACAAAAACAATTAAAAATAAAATCTTCCTCTACCCCACAATAAAAAAAAAAACCCTAAATAGGGTTAAAGATGTTGCTCAGTGGTAAGATTCTTGAGTGTCCAAAGTCCTGGGTTCCATTCCTAGAACCATTTTTTTTTTAAACTAGAATAAATTACATGACAGAGTACCTGTAGTGTACTTGGATTAACTTTTTTCTTTTGATTTTGCTTTCTTCTGTATAAACTATGAAACCTGCCGACCACTGAGTAATGAGATCAGTAAGATTGCAAACTGAACAGACAAGGATTCATAAGCTTAATTAAAAAAAAAAATCAGGGGCTGGGAAGGTGGCTCAGTGGTAGAGTGCTTGCCTTGCATGCATGAGGCCCTGGGTTCAATTCCAGATAAGCAGAAAAAGCTGGAAGTGGTGTTGTGGCTCAAGTGGTAGAGCGCTAGCCTTGAGCTGAAGAGGTGAGGGACAGCGCCCAGGCCCCATGACTGGGAAAAAAAAAAATCAGATTTTTCAGATCCAAGATGCCAGTTCTTCATTTCTTCTTCCTCTGGAAAACATGGAGGTGATAGCATACAAAATGGACATGTATGTTAAAGGTTCAGAATATTCTCCCAGACCATTTTGTTTTTATTTTATTCTATTTAAGTAGTTATACAAAGGGATTTCAGTTGTTTGTCAGTCTATGACATCACACCTTTCATCATTCTCCCTGTCTTCCCAACTCCACTCATATTATGACTGCATTTGCCTATACTTTCTCTCTTCATTGATCCCCAGTACATGTTCTACCTTTTGGTATGCCTTCTGTTAACCTCTCTTAGTTCTTTAAAGGGGTTACAATAATGCACTGTGGGTATTTTTCCATGCACATAGCTAACTTTAGTAAATATGTTTGTGTATATATGCATGTGACCCTATATATGTTCACATATAAATATATATTTGTAATTTAGCTCTAACTTCCATGTATAAGGGAAAACATACATCCTATGTGTCCTTAGTCTCTCTGAGCCTGACTTGACATAATTTTTTAAGGTACATTTATTTCCCTGCAAATGCCATAATATACTTCCTGATGGTTGAGAAAAATTCCATTATATATGTATATATATGTAGATAAATTCATTCTTCCTGATGGATGAGTAAAATTCTATTATATATGTGTGTGTATATATACACATATATATGTGGATGTATTTCACACTCATATATTTCTTGATTGGAGGGCATCTGGGCTGTTTCTATAACTTGACTTCAATGAATAGTGCAAGTATCTTTATCCTGACTTGTAAGGTGTTTTCTAAGGTGCCTTTTATGAAACTTGCTAGACTGATTTAATTATTTATATGCCTTAACATTCATTCAGAATTACTACATATAAAGTGGCCATGAAAAAATTGTATTATTTATTTGCCATGTAAAACTTTCT